CATCCCTTTCATTACAAACCATTATTTAATAATTAAAGCATTATTTAAAAAATAATTCTTGACTCAGTTAATTCTATTTTACGAAAGATGTCCGATAAATTCTAAAATCTAATAGTGTTTACTAGTAATGGTATTAAAAAGTCAGAAAATTAATTACCGATAGTGTAGGTAAAAATAAACAAAACAGAAATCCACGATTGCAACTGCAAACAGTGTGTGAGAAAAGATTAACCACGTAGATAGAATCTAGTTTTTTGCCAAATTTATTCTGATAAAGTGCAGTCATGCTGTGTTTACGTGAATGTGAACAAAGATAATGCATAGTCTGGGTTATTACATGACCATCATCACAAGCATGTGGATCCATATTTCACAGGCAAATCGGTTAAACAGATGGATACTTCCCCGACAGTTAATTACAAGAAGCAGGTTCACGACATGGTGGTTTAATTTCCCCTTTTTCGAAATCAATTGCCGCATTTCATGTAAATTGTGAAGAGAATGAAGTACGAGAGCTATTTGGAAATTTATTGAGACTTTTGCTTTATATTCAGAGAAGAAAGAAATCAATTCATGAAAGTTCACCAGAATTTCAAGTAGAGCCCATGAAGCAAATACTGTAGATTCCTAAATATACGAGAAGAATAAATTATCGCGTAATTACGCGAGGAGCACCGCTCGCGAAATAAAACTACTCGCTACTTTAATGTGTGTAAAATCTCTAGATAAATCACCCATTCGCGAATTATTTTTCTCGCGATTTGACGTCATTCGGCCATTTCGCGATATTAAGTACTGGCGTAAAATAAGGAATCTACAGTATATATGTAAAATATCTTGTTGATGTCACCATTAGATAAGAACCTGAGAAATGTCTAACTTGCTTATGTCCATTAACCCGGAGCACTCCGCAGAGATAATCACAGCGTTATTTTAAAGTTAAACAATTGGGAAGCATCCATTGTTCTTTTTCTGTCATCACTTGATTACATTCTTTGAATCCAAGTGGTACAAATTCTGTACAATTTTTAAACCCTTTACAAACTCGAGTGCTGTTGCTACCTTTATGAAAAAAATCCATGACATATCTCTTAAAGCTGAACGCCATCATTTGGTGCCAACTTTAGGACTGGTGACGTCAATTCGTCCGTAATAAATGATGGCCATCCACTTTCACTATGGTTAAGTTTGTCAGAAAAATGCTGAAATCAGCAATAAATTAAAGCCTTAGACACTTCTGTATAGTTCTATATAAAAATTATTGTTTTCCTGCTGCTCCGCCTTGACGTCAAAATTCATTTTAATGTCAGATTTCTATAGCCTGAGAAAAAAAATCTATATGATATCCCGTATTTCTAATCGAACATCTTTCAAACTTGCACAAAAATAAAGTCAAGATAGAGAACTGAATATGATCTGTATAATTTTTATGGATTTTCATACATTCTCTGGGTCAACGTAATATTTACAGAATTCCAATACCCAACGTTGAAACTGCGCACGGTACCCCTTCCATCGACACATAAATAGGATGTTTAAAAAATATTTAAAATATATCTTGCTTTTATATATTGTTGGTGTTTGTTAAATAAAAGACACCACAGAGTCTGTTGCATATGTGGATGTTTTACTGACTATAGACGACAAGGGTCAGCTAACAACTTACATGTAACTGTATGACAAACGAGATTAATTCAGCTTTTCCATTGTCAACTTTCCTTATTTATGTAGTAATATTCCATAATCATCTGCATATGGTGTTAACGTCTCACATCTTATTCTATACTCACGAGGATGCTCTGAGTTCGATCAATTTTGAAACTGAGGGAGGGTACTGACAGATAAGATGATGTTACAGGGATTTCAACAACCTCGTTTAAAGTCAGCATTTTGTAAAATTCTGCGGTCATTACAATGGCATTGTTAGCAAATACAACCTATCACTGAGTAGCCGTATTTTGAATAACATATTTCATACCAATTATGATGCCTTTATTTTACTAATTTGACTATGAAGTACAGTCGACAGGAGATGCTTACTCCCCATAAGCACCTGATCCCACCTCCAGAATTTCCAGGGATCCGTGTTTTATAGTATTGTTACACAAGAGTCACTGCACAATTTTGGGTCAAAAGGGCGCGTCTTTTTTCTTTCAGAGGAAAAATAGGTTACACAAAATATTCTTGAATTTTAATCAAAAAATTCAAAATAGCCTTGAACTTGAGCAATTTCTAATGTCTTGGATAAAGTAATTCATTAACCTCAGGTCACAAGCATTAATTGCGTGTTGAATGATAGTGAAATTGGAAATGAGAACTGATGTTCAACGGATGTGAAGAATGATTCAGCAGGGAAAACATGTATATACTCTGAAAAGCGTAACCACTCAAAAGTTAACTTTTGCAAAGCGATTCACCAATATTGATATTTGTGAAAAATTAAAGTAAGCTTACTTGGATCCACTAAAACACAAAAGCTGCAAATAAAACAAAATCACTTAAAATTTCAAATTTAAACGTGATACAGTTTGCGTCTCTGTATGACGTGTTGTGAGGAACTGTCGGATAGCTGTAAGGTCAGTTTCTTTCTCATTTTTTATTGTTGCATGTTTTACTAAGATTTCATATGTTTTATTCGCTAAAAAATATAAACTAACATAATGTGAATAAATCAATGTCATTCGTAATTTCAACACATCGTTTTATTTTATGTACACGTAATCTCTATGTTTTCTGATTCTTGATGTGCATCTCTATTAAATCTCGTAATTTTAATTCCTCTCGATAAATTAAAAACTAGGCTTTTTGATATAATATACAACTGCTTCCTGAATGAAAATGGAACTGGAAAATTTTCGTATCTTGTGATTGGTCATCAACAATATTACTTTGTTTAAAATCAGTCTGATTTAACACACAAGTACTCGGAAGTTGATGTTACATGTAAAAGGTACTATATTCCTCATTGACAACATCTATGTAGCTTTGGACATCAGGTCTTCCAACAAACTGTTGGGATTTCGATAGGCACTTATTGCGCTCCTCTATTGACTGACCTGGGTTTTTTTAATTATATTCCTTTGAAGCGAATTTATTCAAAAACTTCTACATGAGAAGAAAAAAAAAACTTTCTCTAGCCTTCAACTCGACATTCAGATATATCGACGACGTTTTACGAATTTTAACGTCAAATCATGTGTCGACTCCATATATCCCGGTCAACTAGAAATAATAGACACTACAGTTTGGAACATCTGTTTCTTATTTAGATGTTTTATTGTCATACACGATAGGGGCTAACTAACAACTAAATTGTATGACAAACGCGATGACGTCAACTTTTCTATGGTCAACTTTCCTTATTTATGTAGTGATATTCCACTATCACCTGCATGTAGTGTTTATGTCTTCCAACCTATTACATGCTCAGAGTACGATCAAGTTTAAAATCTAGATTACTTAAGGTTACTGACAAATAACTTTATATTACAAGAATTTCAACAAGCTCGTTTAAAGTCACATTTCGTAAATTATATGGTCGTTATAATGACCTAATTAGCAAATATAACCAATCATGTGGTAGTCTTATTTTGACTTTTTGACTGACATATTTCATAACAATTGTTAGGCCTTTGATTTTAGACTAAATGTGACTTCGGAATATTCCGTGTATCTGATAAATGCATAGGGCCCAGGGCGGATGTGACCGGTCGACATGGGGTGCTTATTCCTCCTAGGCACCTGATCCCACCTCTGGAATTTCCAAGGATCCGCGTTTTATCTCCTGTTCATAGATTTGTATTATTTATAGCTGTTTTTGAGACCAATCACTGTTAATCATATTCATCTTTTCATACATGACTTAACAGAAAAGATGAACTCAAAGAAGAACAGGAAAATTTACAGGCTCAAAAATTACAATTTGTTCAAAGACACTTACATTTATACCTGCATTTTAATGATAGAAATAAAAGTACGTTCTTCATGAAGAATTAAGGGTCAATTTTACATTGATTAATCCTTATTTTAAATATCTGCATGTGAGTATTCTGGCAAATTAATTACTAAGTTCATTGAACGTATCTGGCTCATGTTGCTTAGTGGTTTAAAATCGCTTGGATAACTCTAGATAGATGGTCGACCCCAGCATAGGGATTAATGCATTTTTTCCACGGTAATTGTACACAAAGGAGCTTTCAATTTCATTATCATAAAACTATATATTTTGTACTTATTTCATATCGGACGTTTATCATTATATTTTACTTAATCTGACATGTTTATTAATAATGAAGGTATCTGTTGAAATGTACTTGTTAAAAGCCTTTGAATTACCAGAATAAACTTACACAATTCAAAATGTGTCAGAATAGCATTATTTAAGAGAGCACCGAGTCGCGATACTCGTATTTTTTCCACAGTAATTGTACACAAAGGAGTTTCAATTTCATTATCATAAAACTATATATTTTGTACTTATTTCATATCGGACGTTTATCATTATATTTACTTAATCTGACATGTTTATTAATAATGAAGGTATCTGTTGAAATGTACTTGTTAAAAGCCTTTGAATTATCAGAATAAACTGACACAATTCAAAATGTGTCAGAATAGCATTATTTAAGAGAGCACCGAGTCGCGATACTCATATTTTTGTATGGAATAGAGACAGGTATTTAAAAAATCTTACAAAACTTCACAGTGAGTTTAAAAGATTTACATGAATTTTTTATTATTCGACACAATTAAGCTCATTCTTTGTTTTCGAGATACTGATCATAAAATATTTAAACATTGTCCCTTCCAAAATAAAATTGAAGTGGAGATACCGTAAAATTTCCTCTCTGAACTATTACGCAGTGTTCATAAAGGGGCGGTGCAATTATAAAAGCATCACCTCTGTAGCGGAAGTATTGATTAGATTAAGAAAATTACACAGCGTTGAATTTTCCTATTTTAATAAGATTGCACTGTATACTTTGGCGCCTTGGCAAAACTAAAGAGATGTTAATCTTGGAACTTCAAATTCTGTTATATAATGAAAGAAAGGCGATTTGTGCGTGATTTCTAATTATAACTGCATTATATATCAGTAAGTATTCTTCTTTGTACAATTTAGATTATTTTAATGAATTATTTTGTTTGCATTACATAAAATTTAGTTGTAAATATTTATTGTTTTTTTCCGGGAGAAATACCTTTGTTAAAATGTTAAAGATTTGTGAATATTGAATTTGATCGATTATGAATTATTTCCCTAGAAAGATAAATACATGCTTCTTGAAATTTTCATACCAAAATCATAAATCTTAAAATTGATAGTTTGATAAGGAAACTGCATACCGCGAAAAGAATGAATAAGAAATGTATAATAATAACTCTATGTACATGTATATGTGTGTTGACATAATATTCGTAATCTTTGATAGAAATTGGCATAGAATATTTCTGTATTTATGTCCGAATGAAATCTATATAGCATAATTTTTTTTCAAGGTACCAGTAAAAAATAATTTTCTGAAAGGAAGAAAAATCTTTCCATCTGCAGATGAAATTTCAGATAAAAAGACAAAAATAACGAGAATGCTTACTGTGTAAAGGAATCTTTTGTAACAAATCTTTTTGACAAGTGAAACATGCAATCAACAAAGAGTGAAGCGGGGGAAGGAGTGAGGATTGCTCTAAATTCAGAAACAATGCTTTCATTTTTTTTTTTTTTTTTTGATATTTTTTTTTAAAAAATATGTCCCATCACTGTAAACGTTTTTGCTTATTACAAATAAACTTAGTGTCTTTTATATTATTATCCTGTGATATCTGACAATGGTTCTTCATAGACATGATACACATAATTATCATAAAAACAGTCATAACGTCGGGTGCTAGTCACTTCGCCTCAAAACCAGAACGCCCCATGCATGAGCGCCCCAAACATTTTTACCGGCGCCCAAGTACAAATATGAGCGCCCCAAATTTAAATCACGAGCGCCCCAAACTTAATTCACGAGCGCCCCAAATTAGCATTTCGAGCGCCCCAAATAATATCGTCTGATCTAACACATGTACACAGGTGTCTCGTTATGTGAAAATTTTATACATAGGTACTTCATCAGTTATATTTTATTTTTGAATATTTCATTTGAATCTATGTTGAAATTGACTTATATTTAGTTGCATACAACTGTACAAAATATTCTTTTGTCTGACTTTCCTTCTTCAAAGAACACTTGTGTAATATTCTTTTAAATTATCAACTTATAATTATTTGTGTAAATAAAAACGATAGTTTCAAAGTCTGAGCACCGCCGTTATCCCACATTAAGGAGCCCGCTCAATTATAATCTCATAATTATTTTTTACCACATTGTGATGAAAAAAAAAAAATTGTCGACTGTCTGTTCATTTCTTATGGATCGTTTGAGAGATGGAGAAGTGTCTTCAATGCAAGAAAGTGGTAAGTCCATTTTTATAAATAATTCAACAGCGTTCAATTTGTGTTGCTTTATCATTTTATTGTTGAAAACTTGTTCCAGTACGAACCTATATATGATTCAGAGATATATGAAGTACTGTCTAGCACGCTTTAACTTTTTTTTCTCAGTTCTAATTAGATATATACATGTAATTAACTTATGTTTTAAGTACATCGTGACAAAATCTTAATTTATATATTAAAGAAGTTCCTTGTCGGTTTTATATAATTTTTTGATAAATCAAATGTATTCAATATTAGATATCCTACAGTAATAGCCTATTTATTTTTTTCCTATTGAAGAATTTTTTATCGAATTAATATATCAAGAAATTTGAATTTATTTGGCGATAAAACATGTAAAATTTTGGACAAATAAAACATTTTAAAGTCTTACAAATTGTAAAGAGATGCTTGCCAAAATTTGCGTTGTGATGCCAATTATGCACTGTTTAGGATCCACGCCCCCAATGTATTTCCTCATCCAAATCCTGCACAGCGAGGCAGAGAAGCTACCCCTTCAGAAACAAATGGTGGAAGAGGGAAGTCTCCACAGACTACAGCGCAGAGATGTCCGAGAGCGCCAGAGATTATATAAAGACCTGTGGGAACAGTACGAGGCTGGAATGTTTACAGGGTCGGAGCTGCTTGTGCAACTTTCCAGAGTGTGTGGCCCAAGTCGCCTCTAGTGTGTGTGTAACGATAACCTGAACAAAAAGTGTTCCCACCCAGACTATTATTTATCAATGTTGAGACACAAGAACTTTAAGTGTGGTTTCTATTCATTTGTGTTATGTATACGCATCTATTTTTCATGACGTCTACCAAATATTAAAAATAAATTAAGTAAAAAAAAAGTTGTTGTTAAAATCATTATTTTATGTTTTATTGGCCACTAGCATGCAAAAGAAGGACATATATACGTATTTGTTAACATTACTGATACAAATCAAATTGAGGGAAAAACCAACTTAATAATAAATACAGCCATTAAGCTATAAGACTACATCTTTCGAAAATGAATATTTCTGAACTTATACATATTAATATTAATATATATAATATAAATATATCTAAGAAATTTCATGGTTATAAATTATAGTTACTGCAGAAATATACATCAGTGCTCAAGTCTATTCTATTCGTATAGTGTAGTAGTGTAGTAGACCTTTGAGACGAACCTACTTACTAGCAATTATTAAATTAAAATTTAAAAATTCAGTATAATAAAATTCACTCTTTTGTATCTCATTCAAAATGTATTTCGGTCCTGGTATATGTCCGTGTACTTAAAAACACGGAAAGAATTTGAGTACGTTTTATAACTTTATAATCTTGGGGCGTTCGTTATACTTAAAATTTGGTGCACTCATGATATAATTATATAATTTGGGGCGCTCGTGAATTGTTCATATCAATATTTTTTTAACATCTAAATGTAAAAAAAAAAAGCCAATAATTTATTTCTTTACTAGTTACTAAGCCTTGGGGCGCTCGAAAAACTTGGTGCACTCATGATATATATATAATTTGGGGCGCTCGTGAATTGTTCACATCGATATTTTTTAACATTTAAATGTAAAAAAAAAAAAAAGACAATAATTTATTTTACTAGTTACTAAGCCTTGGGGCGCTCGAAATGCTAATTTGGGGCGCTCGTGAATTAAGTTTGGGGCGCTCGTGATTTAAATTTGGGGCGCTCATATTTGTACTTGGGCGCCGGTAAAAATGTTTGGGGCGCTCATGCATGGGGCGTTCTGGTTTTGGGGCGAAGTGACAGTAACCCCTAACGTCAGATGAAATTGTAAATAAAAAAAATCTTTACTCAATTTTTTTTTTCTGTGGCACTTTTAAAAAAGTGCATTGTTTTCTGGTTGCTTTTATGCGTAATTGATTTTAACGTACTCTACTTAAAAAATCGAAAAAAATATTTCATGCTGATTATAGTGTTTTACAAACAGGTAACATCTTGTCATATCTCGTGTTTCATTTATTATTAAGTTCAGATCGACCATATGGTAAAAAGGTCGAACATTCACCCTGTGGCGATAATAATCATAGGTTGCAGTATTCTATGGTTTTTAATTTTCAAGCATTCAGAATTCTCAGTTAATTTTGTTAACGGTTGCCCCCGATCGTTAATGACTCTTTAAGAGGTTGCCGGAAGAACACCTATTTTGATTAAATGTTACAGTACTATTGTGTTTGCTGCAAAACTTCATACCTGTAAACATTGTTCACGTTTAATTATGTTACACTTGTTTCTTTCTTTAATTTAAATTAGCTTATGAGTGTTTCAACCAAACAACGTACTGTCAGTTGATTGCTTGAGAACAAACGTTGAGAAAGAAATTACAAAGGGAAACTTTACCAAAATTCAAAAATATGAAAACTATTGGAGTAGGGCAACAGAAATACATTAAGGCTATCGATAATCTCATTACTTTGCCAGAATTCTTTCCCCGACAATTATTCACATGTCTTAATTTCCAGTAAAGCGAACCAACGCATTTGCAAAAAATAATATTGATATAAATATGTCTACGAGGTTAAATAAATCCACGAGATTTTGTTATAAAAGTACTTGATTAACATCAAACGGTAACAAAATCAGTGTTAACTCACATCCTTATAAAGAAGATACTATTTATCATATCCAGCACTCTGTAAGCTCTCCCATTATGTCGATATTTTGCCTTTGAGTGCCTCGTCCTCAAGAGGATCTATGACAATCTGGACAGCATTTCCTGTGGCCATTGATGATATTATTTCAGTATTTTCCATATGCTATAAGAGTCAGTGGGGAAATACTGGTAATGCATAAAAATACAAAATAGTAGTTATACAGAGGATGACCTAGACTAGTGATAAATATGCTTGGAATTGGGGGAAATGGTATTGGATAAAAAGATTTTTTTGTATTCACTAAAAGAAAAAAGATTTTTCCTTGACACATATCTCTCGCAAGCGTACAGTTGAAGTGTTCCCTCCTGTTGTTTTCACATATTGCCCACTTTCATTCATGAAAAAGTGTAACTAAAGGCTATTCTTTATCTGTCTTGAAAAATGATTGAAGAGCATCGTTATCAAAATTATTTATCACATTCCCTCATGCATTGGATCGAAAGTTTATTTATATGGATTGAGTTCAATGATAAACATATAAAGTGGGTTTGCATTTTATCAAACCAATTACTTTCTTTCCTGCTGTGCTGCTAAAAAATATTGTTTTTGTTCATCTTGCAGGTTTACAAGAGGACACCATGGGCGTTGAAACATTACAAGACTGGAACGATCAACTATCGCAAAAGTATACATTAAGCACGTGTATTCTTTCTATCTACTTGACCATTGGTTTGATAGGAAATACGCTAGTGATTATATTATATAAAACCAGAATGAATTCAAAAAATGACGACAGATATTTTATTCCGGCAATAGCTATCATCGATCTTGTTGGATGTGTCTTTTCCACAACTCTGTCATTGTTGAACAATGAAAGGCCTGTGATGTTTCCAGGTTCAATTTCTTGCAAACTTATACAGTTTGGAACGTGTTCATCCATTATCGCATCTCTTTTTATGCTGTTAGTTATATCTGTCCAACGATTTCAGAAAATATGCCGCCCATTTGGTTTTCAAATGAACTTGAAACACAAGAGGTTGGCTACAGCTGTGGCTGTCATATTGGCTTGTTGCTTTTCAATTCCAATGTTGCTGTTATACCAGAAAATTGAGGTAAGACATGGGCCTAAAAATATAACAGGACATATCTGTGGATCCGCCCCTGGAACTGAAAAATTGGGTGATAGTACTAGAGCTATTCTAATAACCGTCGAAGTAGGGGCTGTTTTCAGCATGACAATCTTCTATATTTTGGTTGGTCGTAAATTAATTGAACAGTTCAAAATATCACGAAAGTTACATGACATTAATTCAATATCTGGAACAAGTAACAGCGGAAGTAACGAACGGACAACGATTAGAACTGTTCCATCAATTGACGCAGAATTGACAGATAATTTCAGCAATGTCGAAAACGATAAAAAGGAACTTTTTCAAGAAGATTTACGAAATGGTAATCGAAGTAGCATCCTACATAGGGCCAGGTCCAAAGACAAAAAGAAACCAATCAGTAATGGCCGACGTTACTCCGTTATGTTTATGGTTATATCTTTAGTTGCTATTGTTTGCTACATTCCACCCTGGACGTTTGTCATTCTGGAGGCAAAAGACGCAAATTTTTGGAGAAGTTTGACCTTCGAAGAGATTCAAGTTTTCCTGATCATTCGCAATCTTTACATCGTAAATCATATCGCGAACCCTTTCATTTACGGATTTTTTGATCCAAAGTTCAGACGGGAGGTGAAAAACTTGCTTTGTAGATGTAAAATTCGATAGTGTAGATGATGGCTAATTTTTTTCATGAACTCTTATCATAAAGCATTATTTCATGTAAATATACTTTAAATGTCTAGCAATGTTCCAAATCAAGAAGTCAATGAACTCGTTTTTAGTGTACATATATATTATGTCTATGCATTAATTATTCTAGCAAGTTTGAAACATTCATTTAGTATAATCGTCTACAATGATCTAAGCTGAAAACTGTGGATTATTTGTCAGATGTTTATTCAACAATTGGGAGACATAAACTCCATACGCAGGTGATAAGGGTATACTGCTTTATAAATACGTGAAGTTGACGATAGAAAAGTCAAAATCATTTTAGTTTATCAAAAAGTGTTGTTGTAAGGTTACCATAACACTATGGTATCTTTTATTTCATGTTCGCTGGGATATATCGAGTCGAAATATGAATGGAAGTAACTATTGTTAATTGATAATACAACGTCAATATATCTAAATGTCGAGTTGAAAGCCACAGCAAGTGTTTCCCTCTTCCAATGTGTAAGTTTTTGAATAAATTCTGCTTTATGGAAAAGGTGAAGATAACGTACAATGATCAATCTAAAAAAATCTATAACCAATACAGTTCTGTGAAGAAAGCATAAAATGCAGAAATTTCAAAGGTGAGAATAGGCGCATAGGAGGAGTAAGCATCCCCCTTTGACCGGTCACACCGTGAGCCCTACAATGTATGTATTGATCAGGTAGACGGAACATCCTGTAGTCATATTCAGTAAAAAACAAAGGCCTAACAATTTGTATGAAACAAGTCAGACAAAATTTGACGCAATGATAGATTATGTTTGCTAACAATGCCATTATAACGACCATAAAATTCGAAATACTGACTTAAAACGAAGTTGCTGGAATACCTGTAACATCAACTTTATTTGTCAGTAGTCTTCCTCGGTTTAAAAATTTATCTTACTCGGAGCATGCTCTCAAGTATCAAATAAGTTGGGAGATGTAAACATCAAATACAGATGATAGCGGGATATTACTACAAAAATAAGGGAGGTTGGCGACGGAAAAGTTGAAGTCTTTTCTTTTGTCATACAATTTAGTTGTTAGTTGGCCCTTATCGTCTATAGTCAGTAAAACATCCAAATATGAAATAGATGTGGAAGACTCTGTGTCGTCTTTTTTTCAAGTTCACTGGGATATATGGAATCGACATATGGATGAAAGTAACTATTGTTAATTGACAATACATCGTCAATATATCTAAATGTCGAGTTGAGGGACACAGCAACTATGAAGTGTTTCCTTCTTCTCATATAGAAGTTTGTGAATAAATTCTGTTTCTAAGGAATATGAAAATAAGTCTGTTAATATAGGAGCACAATTATTGCCGATCGAAATTCCAACAGTTCCTGAACTCCGAAGACTATACATGTTGTCAATGAGGAACTCCAGCATCCTTTTAATATCACAGAGTACTTGTGTGTATAATCAGTGATTTTTAACAACAAATTTTGTAGACCAATCACAAGATAGGAAAATTTCCGATTTATTTTTTTTTGAAGAAGCAGTTATCTATGATATCAAAAAGTTTATTTTTTAATTAATGGTGAGGAAGGGTTGTATAAAGTGAACAAAAGTCGTACGTTTTGATGTTACTGACTTTTGAAAAATTTGGCGATTCGAAATCTAAAAGTTCTTTGGAGTTTTTGAGAATTTACATCTGATTTCCACCACTTTTAGAATATGCTGTGGCACAGTACGTCTGAAGTTTTTCCTTAACAGCAATTAATATTTTTGTAAGAAGTAAGGAAAGAGGCTTAGTAGAGCATTTGGTTGACGGCCTGCAATGTATCTCTGTTTGTAAGGATTTTTATAAAGTTTAGGAATCCAATATAGATATGGTAGATCGAACTCACCTTGATTGACTGGAATGTTAGAAGTTTTAAATGTTAGAAGTTTTAAATACTTAAATGTGATTTTGAAGAATATAATCAGCGAGTATAAGATGGATTCCTAAAGATAGAATTAAAACCAACTTCTTCTAAAATACAATTACAATAATGACCCTTGGAAACAAAGAAGATATTTTTACAAGTCTTTCTAATTCTTTGATCACCTCCGATTCAGTGAAAACGGAAGGACAGATGGTTCCCATATTGCCTTTTAAATTTCTTATACGATTCATTTATACATTTCTAAAACATTTGATCTATTCTGATAAAGTATTCAGATCTTCTTTTTCATATTTAGCCAAACTTCTGCCATAATCTTCTAGAGAATTCATAATAGAAATGAAGTTCTGTCGCCATTTGAAAGATCGAGGCTCCATGTTTTTAGGACCTTTTAAATACAATCGCTTAAAGATCATCATTTTCAACTATGAAACATATGAATATAAAAATAGGTCTGCTAAAAAAGGGGCGCAATTGGTAACATCGGAATTCCAACAGATTGTTTGAGGACGTGATTCCCCAAAAGTACATAGATATTGTCAGTCACAAACTCAAGAAGCTTTTCAATATCAACTTCGGCATACTTATGTGTACAATCAGAATATTTCAAGCAAAAAAATTTGCAATAATTGTTTTGGTTAAATTTTGTGATTTCCAATTTTCTTAAAGTTCCTTGGAGTTTTTAAGTATCCACATCTGACTTACATTTCTAGAATATATTGTTGTACGGTACACTTGAAGTGTCTTTTTCACTGCTGTCAATATTTGAGTGAGGAGTAAAGAAAGAGACTTAGTAGAACATTGACTGGAACCCACTATGTATCTTTGTATGTAAGAATTTTTATGTATTTTAGGAATCCAGTTTTCGTATGGTACATGTAATTCAAATTCAATTTGATTTTTGGGTATTAAACATTTGTAGAAGTGACATATGATTTTGAAGAATTTCTTCCTTTGATAAGGAGCTATGGGTATAAGTTGGATTACCACTTGCAGAATTAAATCCCAGCTCCTCTAAAATACAATTAAAATAATGAACCTTACAAACAAAGCAATGTTGTTACGTGCTTTGTCAGCTGGGACCAGTACATATTGATCTTGTAATCCATCTAATTCCTTTTTTTCACTTCTGAATTATTGAAGGCAGAAGGAAAAATGTTTTTATAATGCTCCTCAATCGCTTAATGCGAGATTTTAACATCCATCTGATACTTTAAATCCATTCGTACAGTGTCAAGGTCTTTTTTCATGTTTTGCCCATCGCATTGCGTAATCTTCCACATAATTCATAATATTTATAAAATTATGACCCAGTATGACCCAGTTGAAAGATCAGGGTTCCCTAAATTTTGGCTTTTTAAGATAAGTGATTTAAGGTCCTCATTATTAACTCTGTCATTATATTTACGTCACCAGTAATATCGTGTCCAGCATGACTATAGTTGTAGGGTGAAGAAGAAAATCAGAATACATTGGAGTATTATGTTTTTAGATATTCGATACCTGCATAGGCACTGTAGAGTTAATGTTTGGTAATTAAATGATGAAGACCTTACTGTTTATTTACATAAGGTATATAATATGAATCAAAAGAGACATCGTGTATAATAGGTTTATTGTAAGACCGATGTTCATGACTATTCTGGGTATCGTTAAAATTCACATTGCTACACTGTGGATTTGAAAGATTCCCAACACTATCTAAGAAAACAATCCCCAGTTCTCCGATGTTTAATTGGGAGAAGGAAAGTTGTACGCTAATTAAGCATTTAAGGTGTTTCATTTTGATTGGTCAATCCCTGTCGGCATTCAACAGTAATTCCAACATTAGATGACCAGAATGCGTACAATGGACGTACAATATATCAGCTTCTCACATTAATAATTCATTCTTATTGACTCCTATAAATATTCTAAAGGAAGCTTAAAGATCAATTATACTATTTGTAATCAATTTCTTTTCCTCCTTTTTTCAAAAATGATCCTAAAAATCGCAAAAAGTCTACACGTTTTCAGAAGCAACACATGAAATGGAAATGTTTTGAAATTTGTGTAGATAATGCACATTTTTTTTCAGAAAACATTCTCAATAATTAACTTCTTGGGTGACCATTATAATTGCTGCAGGATCATATTTACTTCCAGTCTTCATCAATTTGTTTTGCATTTCGTCATTCGACAACACCCATTTTCTGTATTTTTTGCATTTTATAAGAAACAAAGATTTTGGAATTCAGACGCCATGTAGAAATATATATCATATATTTTTGAATTGAAATCAAAGCCAAAACTCGATAGACAGAAGACGGAAGATAGAAGAAGCTAATTTACAAATATTTGTTCCAAAGAATAATATTTGTTTTCCGTCACTTAGATTACAACATTTCAGATCATAAGAATGCAACTTTATGAGAAACGGATCAAAGATTTAATAATAAAAGTAGATTCCGTCCGAGAAAACTTATTTGTTTTATCCCCCCTTCTCTTCCTTTGTAAACAGAAATGTTTTATGAGGGATGCTCGTGTTCGTATGATATTGGATTAGGAATCTCTTTGTGTGTTCGGAGAGGTATGTAAGATTGTTCTTCACAACAGTGTTTATTATGACTAGACAGTGTATTGCCGAATCACAATATCTTCTGAGTAGATCAGTTAATGTCAATGAGTTTCAGGGATGCGAATCGTGCCACACAGTTTTAATTTCTGTGATACAGACATGTTTTAATTCATACAATTGTAAAAAGTTGACCGAGACGGTGTCTTTAGACCCACAACCAAAGTTTTTAGGAAAAGACTAAGGCTACAAGTACTGGCAGCATTATAAAATAAAGTCAAAGTTTACTAGCTTTAAAATGCAAAGATTTTTAAAGAATTCTTAAAAAATCGTATTTCACATTTAAGCTACTTGCTATAAACTTCATGAAAAAAAATCAAATATGTTTATATAAGTTAAAAGTTTAGTCTCATAAAGTTTGAATTTTTTAAAAAGAATTTTCAACAATTTCCTATAAATTAAGTGATAAAAATTGAAAAAATAAAAAAAAATTATAACAAAAAAGAGAAAAAAATAGAACAGACGCGTGGTGCGTCGCCTGATGGATATAAAAGTTAAAATGCTCTCACCTTTTCGGAAACGCTGAACCTATTCAGAGATTTGTTGTAGATTGCATAAATTTTAAAAACTGAGTCCTACCTTCAGTCCCCAGGAAAGCAGGGATCATGAAATTCAAAAATTTATTTTCCCATTACACATAAATTCCACATGCATGTATACTTAGGGGTAGGACTCTGTATTTAAAATTAATGCAATCTTTAACAACTTTCTTATCAACCCTTGGACATATAGCAGGCAAACATGATTATTATAAGCAAGGAACCTTTCCGAAACTGTGAAATTCGTGGCCTCTTCATTTCATTCAGATTCCAGGCTGGGGGTCGGACCTTAATGAACCTTAGTGAGGCTTAATTGTCATATTTATTTTTAAAAACTTTAAATTTCTAAAATCATTCTTCTCATCATCTTCGCTAGCTAAGGGTTTCTGATACGCTACTCTCCTCATAAACCCTTGGCATACGGTGCTGAAAAAAGACGGGATTGTTTTTGTCACGTGATCATGATTCTTACCAGGTACGGCACAGATTGCGTCATCGACAGAAATAAAAAGCGTATTTAAAAAAAATGTTTTTAAAGAATGATTAACAAGAAGGTATTGAGTTATGTTAATTTGTGTTATTTAAACATGTAAAAATGCAAATCTACATCTTCAGTATAGATTCTTAATCACATATTTTGCACGTAGCTTTAGATATTGGATGACACCATACTAGCTATTCATAGAATGGCATGTTATCTTACGGATCATTGTTTACTTAGGTTTTACATTACCGATATTAAAGAGTCAAGATATATCCCGAACGCAAATATCGTCATTTACAAAAAACAATTGCTGATTGGTCGAACGATGTCGATCAACTCCAATCACAACTTGAGAAAAAAATCCCAACTTTTTTTAACACCGTATGCCAAGGGCTTATGAGGAGAGTAGCGTATCAGAAACCCTTGGCTAGCGAAGATGTCTTCTCATAGGAATTTAAAATGAAATTGTTTTCATTATGATAAACACTTAGCCCTCTATCAAAATTGTGAAATTTAAGATTTTCCCAGCTGGGTGGAACTAAGATGGTCATATATTGAAAATACATTACAACTTTGGAAATACTTTTTTTTCTCATGGACAACAAGCAATCAAACTATTGGCATGATTAAAATAAACAATTACCTTTACCAAAATTGTAAAATTATGTCCTCTGGTCCTAGCGTTCAAGCCAAAGGTTGTAGCTAATATATATCGAGATTTACTATATTCTCTGTGTTATCTTGGTTATTTTTAACCCTTTAGAAGATAAGCGGCATATATTTTATTTTGATATTGATTAGAGAGTTCTTACTACGCTTTTGAAATTTTGTCAAATGATACCAGGCTTCCACTTCCAGGGTGATCATACCTGAGAAAATCATGATAATCAAATGACCGTCAAGACAAGACCTATGCGTATTTTGATCATGATTTGCCTGAGAAGAACTTTTCAACACTGGCACTGTAGAAGCTTAACAAAGTCTAATGTAATTTGTGAACTTAGATTTCTGCTGAATTTATTTATTTTCCAACAGACCAAAGTGTTTAAATATTGAGCTCACGAGCTAGTGTCTGAGAAAAAATACTTTATTCTGTTTCAGGTGACAAATAGCAAAGAATTACATTGAAAAAAGAAAGAGATTCTTTAAAAATTAATGGACCACTGAGAAAACAAGAAGGACAGATCTTTCAGGCTGTCTTCGAGTCTATAGCTAACAGATAGGAACTCTATTCCATTAAGAAGTTGAAGTGTTTAGCCTATAGCTACGTATCATCCCTCGTCCTCCTTCCCTCTTGATCAATTAGATTTCCGTATGACCAAGACATACAAACGTAATTTATTGTGTCAAAAGATCCTTAGATTACTGTCTAGCGTACCTAACAATCTGTTAAGCCCACATATCGACTTCTGAACAATATGGCTATGTTTTTTTCTAAACATGTTCATTAATTGAACCGTTCAATTCACCTCTCTGATAGCAAACGTCTTTCTCTCTACAATGTACTTCATCAATTAAAATTATCTCTTAAAAATGTAGAAGACAGTCCATTGAAGAAAAGCTTATATTTATGATTATGTTTTTTTACAAAAACCAAATTGAACATGAATATTTAGTTTTATACAATGTATTGCAAAAATGTAATATACGAGAAGACGAGACTGAAACCAGTATTCAAAATTCGAGACACTGTGCAATACCAGTATCTTAAATTGCAGATGTCATCTATAAATTCTTGATATAATTTTTGACCTAATATGATAAGATTTATTGAATATTATAATCTTAATATAAACAAACCATTTAACAAACATGTCTATTTTTACAAGGAAAACTAAGAATGGAATTTGTGAATTGTACATGTATTTCTTACGTATTAGATCCTTGATCACAATATCGGAAAGACCTTTTATATGTAATATCTGAATAACGCGTCCCTCGTGTGTAATTTAACTACTGACATGCTTAAATTTTTAATGTTTTGATTATTTACAAAGGCTGAACAATGCCTTTTTGCATGACCGGTCCATCTTTATAAAGAAGGAGAAGAGGCCATACCAAGTAATCACATAATTTTCCACTCTTTGTGTACTCCTTGTAAAAATCTTTATTCAAAGGACCTTCCCTCTGGCAGGTAAAATCCAAGAACATGGGTACTTCTTGCATTTTCATCATCCAACAAATGTTAATAGATGCTTTTATGTAAATTTCACAGCTGTCAATATATTCGCCATATTTGGTTTGAAATTCATTGTCGGTTTTGATTTTCTGTAAAATAATTTATACATTTGTAGTCTTTATTAAGTTTATTCATTTAAAAACTAAGAATTCTCGGCCATCAAAAAGATATACCGACATTATTGCTAGCTTTTCGAAATTTATAAGTTTATGAACAGAACAAAGATCATTTAAAATAGCAGATAACATGCATCATTAAAAAAATATAATATCATTAAGACATTTATCATTAAATTCTAAATATGGTCATACTGAATAAGTTAATAATGGCTTCTTCATGGGGATTTTAGCAATGCTTTACTTATTAGTGTAGAAATAAACGATTAATTACATTGTAATATTGATAAAAACGTGGGAGTTCAATGGCAAATGGTGTATGTTTCTCTAGGGTAAATCGACATTGATTTATCTCACTGCTGATTTAGTATTGAATTTTTCTAGATGAATTTCGTTAAATTAAGCGAAAGGTCAATATTTGTAAACAAACTGATACAATCGAGAAAATTAAGAACTTAATTATGCAAAATTAATCAAATATACCTTTTGAACTCGACCAACAGAGACGGTTCCACACATCAATTGCATTTCCTTCGATTTTTGTCCTTGTTCAGCAGTCACATCTGTAGGATCTACCTACATGTTTGTATGATGGCAAGAAGTTAAAAAAAATTAGTTCAAAAATTATGCTAAAAAGGGATGGCAATCATTTATTTATTTTTTTAAGACTGATATCAATACCTCGTCGTCAAAGTATATTCCAAACTGCCCCAAATGATGCCGCTGTTCTTCGCTTATTATTTCACAGCTGGTATAAATATTCTAAATCAAAATAGAGCAAAAAAATTACAAGCATAGCATTTTCATACATTTGTGTTCTCCATGTTTTTCAATCAGTGAAACAACGTAAAATGTAGTTATATATTAATCGTTTAATAAAATAAACACGATATTATTAGGTAGCAAAATAAAACTACAAAATACGAATCCAATAAGAAGTGTAAACGTAGAAAGTTTAGACAAGAAGTCGTGGTTTTCATTAATTTTTGTAACCTGTAGAAGGTCCAGCAATATCTGGACCGTTTCCTTTTCACTTCTACCAACGGTCAATTTCTCGAAGGCATCTGACCATTCGTTGTCATAGAGCTCTGAGAACCTCTCCGCTACATTGAGTGGTCTGTTGTCATCACTTAAGTCTGTGATGGAAGGGTTCCCATCTCTTAGTCGGGATCCCGCAATAGTGCTTAATCTAGAAAGAAATATATATGCAGGTAAGTCACAGTTGTATTTTGATAAATTCCACGTAGGACTGGTTGATCTTCCAAGTATTTTCGTGTTTCACAGTTTTTTTCTATGAAAAACGAAAGTAAACTGTTACAGTAGCAAACTATTGTAAGCACCTTACTTCTTAATAAATAATTTTTAAAATTTTTACAGGTAGTGCTATGGACGCTCTTTTTTTTAAATTAAATATTCATCTTCCTTATGCATTAAAATACAGGATAAAAAAAGCCTCGGTACTTTGAACACAAGGGAACAAAAAGATCATCGAAGATGCGGGCGTTTCGAGCCATCAATTTTAGAAATGATTTAATAGTATCCTCAAGAACGAAATATCACTATGTTAGATAAATTTGTGTACAATATTCCGATGTTGTACTTATTGTTTTTATGTTTAAAGGTGAGGATACTCAAAAGATTTTTATGTCAATACCTGGTAAGCAGAGATTCTTTTTCTTGTTGAAGATTGGTAACTTTGAGTTCGAGTTCTCGGTGCAGCCTTGTATGTTCCTGCAAGGTTGACATCAGTGCTTGATTCTGTGCTGTAGCATCAGATATTTCTTTTTTCTGCTGCTCAAACTTAGCGTACATATCAGATACTGTACTATCATATGCACTTCCTTGAATATTCTCCACTCTTCCATTGTTCCCAGTTTGAGAAGCCTTTTTCCTAGGAAAATAATATATAGATCATTATTTAGTTGCACTGTATGCAAATAAGAACGAATAATTAGTATACCTCTAAGGGTTAATAAAAAAAACCTCCCATCCTTACACGTCCTTTGTATGTTGCTTTTTAGCCTTTTCAGCATATTCCATGATTTCATATATCTTTAAAAGCGCGTCCCTTATATTATCGTGAACGTTGTCGTAAAATTGCGCATTGGAATCTAATACGTTGTCTTTTCCAGTGAATTTTTTGTAGCAGGTTTGTAGTGTATCAAATAATGATTCTATTTCGTGCAACCTTACAAAAGAAAAATACCAGGAATGTAAGGGACAAAGGGATTAAAAAGAAAATAAATTAGTGTACCTTTTGTGTAATTAACTATTACTGTATTTATAAAACTTAGATCAGGTGACTAAATAAGCATTAAGCATTTTATAAACAAACATAATGGAAGATCGATTTTAAACCTTGATATTATGTCAGGTTATAAATAATTTTTATCATTCTGGCACATCTCATCACATAGAAAAGGTTATAGTAATCACTAGAACATCACTCACTCCCTCTGCTCATCAGTCTTAACTTCCCTATTTTCTGATCTTCCTCCACCTTTACAGGAAGGCTGTAGCTCTCTCTGGAAATCTTCAATATTATCTTCACACTGCGTTGAAATATCTGTGAAAACTCTTCCTCCGGCATTTGTCACTTTCATTTTACAGTTTTTGCAAAGAGTTTCTTCATCCTGACTGCATGAATCATATTCTTTGTTCTTACAATTCTCCGGATTCAAAATCATGTTTTTCGCCACATTTTTATCTTCATTGCTGTTTGGAGTATTTTCCACACTTTCTTGTCTTTTAACAAACGTGTTTGTTGGATTTGATTGACCGGTTCTGATTACCTTACTTTTTGTGTCATTTGTGGGTAAATTACAATCTTCTTCTTTGACCAAAAGTGTGACAAATTTTCCATCGTTTACCTCGGTAAAGTTGTTAACTTCATTGTCAGTTTCATGAACTAGCTTCAAACCTGGACTATCTGGTCCAATGTTCTCGTCAAATTTTTTGTATTGACCATCTAAAGCCTGAATTCCTTTAATTGTTCCACTCGAAACTTCTTTCTTTTTAGTTTTGAATAAGTTGGACATACTTTAAATGACTCTGGAAATATTAAATATATACATCTGTATAAGGTATATTCAAAATGTTTGTCTACTTTCATTTTCAATAAAGCTTTACACTAGGAATTTGCGTCAGATATAATAAAAATAAACCTTTAAATAATGATAAAAAAAGAACTGATACACTTTGTGCACAATAATCCTTTTAAAAAAATTTAATACATATAAAACAAAAACAAAAACAAACCTGTCCACATCAAAACATGGCAATGATTAGGATGTAATCTGTCTTCCAATTTATCTCGAGAGATAAAGTAAACACATTTTTATCTACTCCGAGGTTTCTTCTTACTAAGATGTGTGTACACATGTACGAATATATACGATAAGTTAAATTTAATTTTTTGGCAAGGAATTAAACTTCCTTTTTCAAAACAGTTGGCTATTTAACATTCACGTAACTGCATAAATGTTTAAATAGGAATCAAAAAATTGCATTACAGATCTGGATTTCAAAAAGAAAGACTTTTATTCTATGAACCAGAGAATATTGTAAAAAACACAGTTCATTTGATATTTTTTTAATCTTTTACACGATATATAAAGCTACGTATCAGTGTTGATCGAAGTACATGTACATGATTGCACTCCTTTTATTTGAACGATATCATTTGTTATAATTATATATGCTATTAATATTGTTTTTATTACATTTTTTATTGTACTCACTGACAGCTAGAATTAGAAATTGTCGAAGATAAAAAGGAAGTAAAGTAGCTGAAGGACACAAACAGGAAGCAGTTAAAGTTGCGGAAACAGTTGCCATTTTTGAAAAAAAGGAAGAAGATACCGGTAAACTGATATATTTTGGTTGAACGAGTTATGCGGATCTGAGTATTTTATTTAAGCCAGAAGTCAGAATCACTCATATCACTTTAAATATAATCTAAGGAAGGCTATATGTATATTTTCATTTTAAAAATATTCAAGTATATGCCTGTATTTAAATCAACATCAAAATTTTAATTTAAATTAATTAAATTTGGTATTTAATACAGAGATTACCACTTGAAAACCCCCCATTGTGACCCCACCCTTGGAGTGCAATGCTTCGAGCATATTTAAATCCTTGATACATGGGAATACTGGTACATCAATATAACTTATTGTAGGCCTTTTCTTCTTGAGATTTTGAGATTAAGCCCTGTGAACTTTTTACTCCCTACTGTGTTCCTTCTGACCCGCGGGTGTAAAGACGAATAATGACCCCCGTAAAAAATGGTGGGGGGGGGGGGGATGGTGACTACATATTGTCGTTTTGTACATACTGTCGTCGGCAGTAGTTTTGTGAATGTAATTAGTGTATGAATCACACTGACGTATCTCATATGCTATTGAATGCAGCGTGATTGTGACGGTACATTTTGTCGTCCCGTTCATATTGTCGGCGGCGACAATGTGTACTTACTCTCACTGTGCATATTGTCGTCCATCAGAACATGTCGCTGGACAATTCACGACAATGCTCCATATAAATACGGCCAGAGAAACCAAAAACTTCAAAAATGGTCCTATACACTTAATTTGATCGCCGAAATATGGCTAAAATATTGCCGACTCGGCGTTAAACAATAATTATCAATCCATATATGACTTGCTGTTTTTGAGAAGATAATTCTTAAAGAATTTTCCCATATATCCCTGTGTAAAAGTTTGATCGCCCATTGTGGACCCACCCTAGGCCCGGTTTGATTTGAAGATACTTGAATCTGCGCTAGCTGAGGATGCTTTCATATAAACACCACTAATCACGGGCCTACTGCTGCTCTCTGCTGCCAGCGACAATATGTACCGAGACGAGCCTTATTTTCCTCCTTCATAATGGACGATAAAATGTACAGTCAAGCACCAGCACATATTGTCGTCGGCGACAATATGTACAGTCAAGGTCGGCATATATTGTCCTCGATATATTGCTTTGACGAATATTTACTTGAGAAAGGAAAGAGAAATTGACAAACACACACTCACGGAGGAAGACAGACAGCATTACTCGCAATACTGTAGGGAGAAAACTTTTTTGGTCAGAAAATTGTGTCCAGGATTGATGTACATCACTGATATGTCAAGATACCAAAATTCTTGAGATATCTGATAAATCAGCCTCTTCTTAACAAACCTTAGGATGTTTTGTGCGAAGTTTGTTAAAAATTGGTCAAATGTTATGAAGAAGAAGTCACTACATAAAAAGTTAAAAGTGAAGCAAACAGTTAGACCGGCGAATAGATATGATACATAAGAATTTCGATAGGGAAAGCTCACTTATGCAATTTTTTTGTAAATTCAGAAAAGCTTAAAAATATATAATATCTATTTAGGATTAAAATATTTTATTTAAAATATAATAAAAACATAAACATGAAACAAGGCTTGTCCCCAGGTACAAGAGTTCTGTACAATGTAATATTCGGTTCTTAAACGTAAATATTGTCATCTTGGCCTAATACAAAAGAGAGAAAATTCATAAATACATTTTGATAAACAGAGAGAATTTTGTTTTTGATAATACTCAAAAATAATTTTGTTTTTTATGATTTTTTTTTTACAATTACCACACGAAAAAATAACAGCCACAAATCACTGTGTAATAAGCATTAATTTTATAATATTCTTTTAAATTGGCTGCAGTACACCTTTCCGGTAAACAGCACCGTTTTCATACACTACTGCAGGCCACACAACATAGTCCACCACATTTCCAGATCTGGTATAAAGACTGAAGAGCAGTTTATCAACCGGCTCTCCAGCGGCTGCATTAAAGTGAAGCAGGAGAGGCGGATCTTGTACGTTCATTAGCCACGACAACTCTGCACACCGGTGCGCATAATTCTTCATCTCAGTGCTGAGATTATCTATGCCAATTTGCCGATCTATTCGCTGTTCATGAAAAATATTGAAATTGGAAAATTTTATAAAATGAACATTAAATTACAGGGATGTCATTATCCAGAAAAAAATGTTTACAGAGCGTACGTTGTTTACCTCTTTGACAAACTGGTAAATTTCCATTGCATTTTCTTTCTGAAATGTTTTCATCGCTTTTCTTAAGGACTGCTGAAGGCACTGTGAAGGAACAGAATGCATTTAAAAAATGACGTATCATAAATCTTAAGATATGTCACCCATGATACCAGTTATATCGTAGTTTTTTTAATTTGTAATGTTAAATTGCAACGTTTAACTCAAAGCATAACACCAAAATCGGCAAGAAAAGTTCAATTAGCATATAATTGAGCATTAGTACAATAAACTTCACGATTTTAAACTTAAATTGTAACTTTCATAATAATTGCATTCATATCTATTCAGGTGTAATAATAGCAATAAATATATTTTTATTTCATGCACGTAAAAATTTATATATTATTTAAGATAATTATGTTAACAATTAATGCGCGGAAATTATTGCGTGGCATTTCTGCTTCAATAAGATATCATATTTTGGGTATTAAAATTCTGAACACTCAGTAAAATATTTTCGTACATGTATATGAAGTGTTTTTATGAATTAAGTGCTGATCAGTTAGAGGCATCGTGTATTTTCAAAAAATGAAATAAATTACGAAATAAAAAATGGGGCCATTGATGAATATTTTGAGATATGGGTCAGATTATGCATACTTCAGGGCTAAAAGGCAGGTTAAATTGTAATATACTTGCAATGTTTTGGCAAAGTATGTTGGAAAATGTGTAAATTTTGTTCCGAAAATATCTTTTTGAAACCTACATTGAATATTCATGGCATATACATGTACATGTAATAATGCGTGTAAATTTCAGTGAGTAAAAATACTTAGGACCAAAGCTTTAATAATTTGAATAAAACCAATCTGTATATTTTTAGAGTATTATTTTATTTTTTAATATCCTTCGACCGTAAGAAATAGTCCCTCACAAACCTTTAGGTTATCTCTTACCGATTTTATGAGCGAATTTTTTATTGAATGTTGTACAATTGACATTGCTTAATTCAAAGATTTGAAAAATTAAATAAATTCATTTGTAATTGAATATTTTGATAATAGAAGTTCTGACTAAACTTATTTCAAAATCTGATGGGTGACATACTTAAGAATAAGTGTAAATATATCTCTTTAAACATGTCCAATGCTTATACTATGGACTACTTACTTCTCCTCCATCGTCAGAAAGTGTTTCACAAAATGATAAACTCTTTAGGAACTGTTTCCGTTGATCCCGTGCTAGAGATCGACAGGTATCGTTGATATTCTTGAAAATAAATGGAATCCAAAAGTAAATGCAAACTGCGTTGATGAAAGAAAATAAGCGTTAAAACGATTTTGTATGCATGAAAAACCCTTCGAATATCTAATATTTTTTATTAATGAGGTGTTCACCGATATATGGGAGCACGTGCTAATTGGCAAATGTTGCAAGGCCACTAATGCAAACATTGTCACGTGACCCTATGTCGGTTATCATCATACACGTAACAAATCAGATACTAATTGCTATATATTTTTAACTCACAGCTACTTTAATTACCTCTAAATCGAATTAAATACATGTATTCCTTTGCATGCATCACACAAATTATAAACTTCCTGAATAATTTATCGCCCTCCGTCTGAGTTCTACCTAGTTCCTCAATCGATGTATTAGTGACGCCTTCTGACATATGATGATAACCAAATTAGAACACAAAAAAATCCTGCAGAGGTTATTTGGGACACAATGTATATGATGGTTTAACCCTGGATTTAATCTGGCAAAACTTGCTAAACATATAAATATATTGGTTTAGTTCTGTTTGGAAAATGTTTTCTAAATAGTTTTTTTTTCTATAAATGATTTGAATGAGACACATGGTGGAATAGATTCGGAAGTTTATTTTGGCAAAATATAATTTTTTAAGGAATCACTGTCTAGTTAGTAGAGTATGACAGGGCATCAACGATAGTTGGAAATGTGGGATAATTTGCATAAAGGGCGAAGCCCCTGATGTCCCTGGCATACTCTACTAACTAGACAGTGATTCCTTATATTTCCATTTCATTGTGAAATAAAATTGTAAATTTAGATTTTACAAATGTAGACTAATAGATTTAAATTACACGAGGTCTAACATGTCAATTTTTAATAGTCCCCGCCCACTGACGTCAAACACAAAGACAGCCGCACGAGAATTACATGCATATTAGGCCTTCTTAGCTGCTGACCTTTCGCTTGGCGAAATTTCCGGTAGAATGATCAAGAAATCAACTCAACTAACTTTCAACGAGTTATCACAGAGAAAACAAATAGAAATGGAAATATATGTAAGTATACTTTTAAAGTATTCGTTAGCTGATCAATAGCCACTCTTTCTGTTGCATTCTGATTTAGAAGCTCCTCCAACGCGTTGGTCCACTCATTGTCGTACAGTTCTCCAAAAGCCTCTGCTAGCTTCATTGGTCTCTTTGTGTCTGATAAATCTTGTATATTTGGATTGTTGTCGTACACCTTCAGACCCGCAACTTGGCTTAATCTTCAGGGAAAAGTGGAATGATTAATTAAATTTTCATTTAATATTTATAGACAATGCAATATATATCATTTTTTATAAGTTGAGTAATCATATTGATATCTATTTGGTATTTTCATTAGTAGTACCTGGTAAGTAGACCTTCCTTTTGTAGCTCAAGAGTTGACACCTTTTCCTTTAGACGTTCTTCTTCCGTTTTAAACAGCTGTATTTGTCGGTCTAACTGTTCCATTCGGAATTGTAATTTTTCGTTTTTGTTTATTTCCTTCTTAATTGCCTCCTGTTCAACTTGGACTTTTCCTCGTTTTTTGTATTTCTCAATGGAGCTAAAAATATTTCCGTAATATGCTATTATTTCAAGAATTTTAAATTATGTTTTTGAATCTCGGGCCTTTGACTTAAGAATCTTACTGTTTTTCTATATGAAGTTAAAGATACTGACTTTTGTAGCGATTCCAGTAAATCAAACACACTTTCAGTCTTTTGTTTGAGTTGTGTCGGTACATATTCAGAGTTGATGTCACTCATGGTGCAAGGGACGTTAATTAGTATGACCCATTGCTCACATTTCTCCAGGTCTTCGGGAGAATAATCTTGAATCTTGTCCTTAATCTGAACAAGTTTATCATGTAGCGTTTCTATCATCATCTCAAAAAATTTCTGTGGATCGCTGTCGATGAGAACCCTTAACGATGAAGCAGAGATACAATAAATACAAAGCATATTACGTCGAATTGTTCGTACAAAGAGAGGAATACACAGCAAAATTGCAGCTTAGTACGGAACGGAAAACAGAAATGTTCTGATGAATTTTAAATATGGCTTCATACATTCCACAATTAAATAAGAAAATTGATAAAGTATTTTTATTTGATGCGTTAATTGTGTCACTTGATTGGATGAAAGTGAAAATTGTGCTGGACTATGCAAAATGTAAATTGAAGCCAAAAAGGGACCTTTTACAAAACATACATGTATAAAAAGGCCTTGAAAGCATGTTCAAAATTACAGAGAGAAATTATGTCCAATTGTCATAATGTCAATATTAATCTTTATTTATTTGATCATACTTCTGTATGGTTGTGAAATTTGGGGGACTTTTAACCCCTTTGCTTCCAAATTTAAAAACAAAGATATTACAATGGACAAAATATTTAACAAATTAAAATGTGAAACAATGCACATTAAATACTGCAAGGCTATTCTTGGTGTGCATAGAAAGTCAACTAACTTTGCAGTTCTATCTGAGCTAGGTAGATTTCCACTGTATTGTAGAATTATTAAAGCTATGCTAAGTTATTGGTTTCGACTTGAAACATTACATCCATCTTTTGTCCTACTCAAGGAAGCGTATTCAGTCTCAAAAAGCCTCTTTCTACACAATAAACCATCATGGTTTGCATCCATCCAGACAATTTTGAGTCAGTTATCTGATTTAAAAAATATTGACTTATCAAAAAAAAAGCATTTATTCATTTAAAAAGAAGTCATCATGTATTATAAGACAGTATTTTATAAACCTATGGTATAAAGAAAATAAAGAGCAAAATAATGGCAAACTAAGAACTTATTCCACTTTCAAAAACAACTTTGGAAGAGAACACTATCTCAACATTATCAATAACTATGATCAGAGGAAAAATGTAACTAAACTACGCATTTCTGCACATCAATTAAATATTGAAAGGGGAAGATATGCAGGACTTCCCCCTGAATCTAGAAAGTGTTCTCAATGTAATACGCAGAAGGTTGAAGATGAACAGCATTTTTTGCTTATATGTCCAAAATATAAGAATGAAAGGTTGCAATTAATGGAAACAATTTCAAAAATCAATCCAAATTTCTCTTCTTTGACACCTGCTGAAAAACTTGTATGGATTTTGAATAATGAAAATAAAGAAATTTTATGCTTACTTGGAAAATTTATTTCTGAAAATGGTAAAAGAACCAATGTATAAATACATCTGTCACCATGTATGTGCATGCCTTTTCTCCAATTTTACTTTATTGTATTTTTTCCCCCTGAAATATATTACAATTTTAAAGGGAAAAAACCCCCCATACAAATATATAAATACATGTATGAACATGTTGTAGCATAACATATTTGTATTGTCTTGGGATCAATGACAATAATTTGGACACTTGACACTGATATTGTCTATGATTATTAACGCTGAATACAATGTTATATAACTGTTTATGTAACTGTTTATATATATATATTTATTTATATAAAAACAATGCATATTGTGAATTATGTTTAATTGTGCATTTATATATGTGGAAATGCCTCTCGGGGCCCTTGATTGGTAAATAAATATCTTGTATAATATTTCTTTCATATCAACCACAGTATAGTTTTTTTTAAAAATTTATTTTCGGTTTAGGCGTTTGACATCCTGTTTGTGTTGCATTATTTTTATATGATTTTGGTTAAAATGGTGTAAATACTTGTAGTTGTGGGTAAAACAAGGTAGCCCCCCCCCCAAAAAAAAATACATAAGTAACGAAAACATACCAGTCATCATCCATTTTATGAAGAGCCTTATCCAAGCACGGAAATAAAAAAAAAATGGAAAAATCTAGTTTCGTTTTTGTTAATGTTTAATACTATTTCAACTGACCTGAAAGATTAAGCTTTCACGTGAGACAAGTGCATAGATAAAGAAATTGTCAACGTACATTGTGTTTATATATACATCAATACGAGAATACGCATATGTATGTGATAGCAAACAGAATTTACAGTGCTCAGCGTATGTTTTATTTACTTAGCAAGCGTGACGAAATCTTTATTTTAGGGCAAGGTGTGCCAAGCATTCTTCAATGCATATCTAGTGATTGTTTTTAAAGTTTTGATTTTTTTTCTTTGTAATTGTTTTTTGGTTTTTGGTTTTTGGTGCATTTCATAAATCATGCGAATATTTCATATTGACCATATTGAATTCGCCGTATGGAAGAGATAATAAAACTGAGTAAATAAAACGTCTTATTAAGTGTATCAATAAATATCGTAAAATGCTTGTAGAGATAAGTTCAGATTTATTGCAGATCTAGGGGACTGAATGACTAGCTCTTAATTTCCGAACGTTTAATTTTTGATTGTGACACATTGTAAATTACCTGTATCAAAATCTGATACAAAACGTTTTTCCACAATTTAAATTTATTATATATTAAATATGAAGATAACACACAGTGATCATTCTCAAAAGTGCATTAATACTAGTATATATATTATGAGCAGAGCCAACACGGAATTGAGAAAAGTGTATCCTCCACCCAACCCCCTCTCCGGAATAGATTTTTCCGGTTTAAGGCAAGCTGTGTACGTTTTTTTGGGGGGGGTTCTTTCCTTCTTTCTCTCACCCTCCCTCTTTCTCTCTTTTGATTGCTTGTTAAAAATTTCTGAGTCTGACATGCAGAGCCTCCCCGAAAAAATCCTGGATCCCTGTTGTAGGTATTCCCTGCAGAGCTGCCACACCTCCCGTATGCTCCTTGTCATGATCAGATATATTCCTTTAAAACAATACAAATATGACAGTGATTGTCTTTTTTATTTAACTTTCCTGAAATTAAACCATTAGTATGACCTCATCTTTTGTTCTTATAATTCTCTCTGTTTAGGAAAGGCTCCGGATAGTCCATTATTTATACAGAGAAAATGACACAAAACTCAGTATAGAATATATGCTTATTTATTGTGGCGAGTATTGGCCGTGGCACAAGAAAATACAAACATTTGTGGGATGTCATTTCCACTGGGCAATCCCACCAAATTCAAACTTCATGTGTGTTTCAAAGTCTAACCGTCACGGGTTTACCGCGGAGGGTCAGCACACATACAAACTGTTCAAAATCAAAGTCACATCTCAAACTTCAAATATCAAGCATATCAACTTCATATATCAAATCTTGTACACAATATATCAAATATCTCAAACTTCATAGATCAAACATCTCAAACTTCGAATATCAAACTTTTTTCATATTTCAAACTTGTACTATATATTACAGCTCTAAAGTATATATATCACTGTCACCAAGAGTAAGCTTATTAGCTTAGTTTACACTAGCATTAGCATATCAACAAGGTGACAGTTCAATACAAGTTTCACACAAATATTCAGTTATCAGTTGACTTGGTGTGCGCAGACGCCACATGGCTGCAAGCTGGCACAGATTGCAGTCACCCCACACATTGAGGGAAGCAAATCAAGTCAACTGTTCCACGACCAATACTGCCCAAGACCTCCCTTCCCGCTGGGTACTTACACACATCTTGACGTATGGATGTGTTAATCCTTCAGCAGACTTGGAATAAATTTTGAATTTCTCTCTATTAAGAAAGGTGCTATAACACATTAAGTAATCAAAACTTGCCAATGAAATATGTGGAGCAGAGCAAACATGTGCACAGAGCTCTAAAACATAGAGATGGGATCAGGTGCCATGGAGGAGTGAGCATCCTCTGCCGACCGGTCACACCCGCCGTGTGCTTCTTGTCATGACCGGGAAATAACGGGAAAATCTGTCGAAAATTCAGTGTGTAAATAATGTTCTAACAACTACCAGGAAGTATGAAAAACATCAGTCAGCATTTGACTTAGTGATAGATTTTATTTGCTGACAAGGTCATTGTATCGACCATAGAACTTACGAAATGACGACTTTAAACGAGACTTGATATTGTGATATGAAATGATATATATATATATATATATATATATATATATATATATATATATATATAATGTGATATATCTCACCTACTCCCTCTTTGCTTAATAAAGCTTTGGTCTTGTAGAAAGAAATTTCCCTACTATTCTGCTTCACAAATGTATATGCCACCTTGCAATGCATTTACATTAAGTTTACCATTGCTTGTTAATTTTGTTTTGAATTGTCCATTAGCCAAGACAAGTTTTATATACATGGTTGTAATTAATTAAAACAAATATCTGGAGATTTATAAACAAATAGGGGGAGTTTCATTCATTATCATTACATATAGCATAATTCTCAATCCATGAAAATTGCTAGGAAAGCCAATTGCTATTTGATGAACCAAGTTTCATGTCAGCGAAGGTGACACATTCACTCTCCAATTAGCAATTTTAAGCAGAGTTATTTGAAATCCTTAATCACATTTCAAAAACTCCAGTTTCAAGGTTGAATCTTACTATATTCCTATTGATACCTAAATATGTACATGTAGTTTCTCGGGGGATTCCCAACCCAAATGGGATTACACAATTATAAGAATATATCACACTACTTAGTGATGGTTACCAATGGTTGTAGAACTGTTAATTATAATAATATTGATATTTTGAAAACATATACTGGTCGTAATGATATTCCTAGAAAAAGATACATTACCTGATATGTAACAAGTTTATTCAAATTTATACTTACCAATAACCAGTTTAGCTGCAATGAAGATATCTGGCACTTTGACAGTGCCAATTTGAACCTGTGATTTTTAGGCTGCAATTTTATTACAGATGCTTACAATACTAGTATACTCAATTAATCATATTTATGTGCTAATTCCTTTACCTCTGACAAAGAGTCTTTCAATAAACATTATTAATGCCTATGACACATGTATGTGCATCAGAATTCGATACAGCTCTGCATGACCATATTCTTCCAGTGTAGTACAAAATGCATAGCAAAGTATAAAATTACTTTAGGTATAGATGTTTGATTATTAATGACACCAATTGGAGATATATTTTCATATGCAATGAGCCTGAATATAACTAGTACTGCTATCAATATGGACTTGATCCAAAATGGAAATTATATTTTTCTGGTGTTCTGATTAAAAACAAAGCCAAACTCATTAAAAATGTAAACCAAATGCACATCCTGAAGTCTTAGAATCAGCATTATATACATGTACAAAATTTAAAAATATAAGCACCCTACTAGGAGTTTTCAGATTCAAACACCCTAAAATGTAAGCCCAATGCCCTAAGTCAAACAATCTGCATTATCTGTATAAAATTACAAAATATAAGCATCCTTCTAGGACTCTTCTGAGAAATAATTGCTACATTATGAAGAATGTAAGGTACATGTACTTGACAAAGTCTTTCTTTGGGTCACTTTTAATGTCTAAAGACAACTAAATATCATAAGTTAAAACAAGACCATATATTAATTTTGCAACATACAATCTGATGAATGTTCTTAAAGTTTTAATTGCTTTACAGAAGTAATTGATTAACTTTGGTATTTGGAACACTGGTATCTTAAATAAAATGTTTACTTCAGATTGACACCTACCCCTGAGGCATTCTACCCTTGACATCTCAAATATCCGGCATCTCAATTGAAAGTTATTTCTTGTCCAATAAGTTCAAGACAATGAGGTTTGACTGTATTTACTTTTTTGATTTAATAATTGGTCATTAAGATATAGATGTATTCATTAATAAGTGATCACAAAACATTCTTGTACAAGATGTTGCAATTTCCAACCTTTCATTTGCACTCTACAGGAACATAACAGAGATATCCTAATTCAAGTAATAGAAAATGGATGTTTATATAAAAATATTTTGCATTTTCCTTTTCATTCGAAGATAATCAATATGAGATTGTTAAATTATGTGGTTTAACAATGATAAATCCCCCCTTTTTGTATTACAAGATCATTTCATTTCCAATTTAATAGCTAGCAAATAGAATTCTTAACAAGAGCATCTAAAGATACGAGACTTGAGAAAGGCCCTTTCTAGAGGTTTACTGCTCCCAGACCCCACACAATTAAGATCCCCCTGTTTCAAGTCATATATATTGAGTTGGAAGCTCAACTCCAGTGTAAATCTGTAATAATTTATGATATGCAACTGATCTTATGACTTACCTATATATCAGAGCCACCTTTCCACAACACTAGTCTAAAATTTCATGAATACAAAGCACTGAACTCCATGAGAGCTCTGGAGCATTTAAATAAATATAACAATACTTTTCTCTGGGCAAGATAGGTGGTTTCATTCCCCCTTTTATTTAAATTCATCACAGACTAGAGATATGACAAGGAGATATATTTTTTTCCCCAATAATCTAGTGCTCTAACTTTAATTACAAATTCTTCATGAAACAAGAATTTTAGGGCTTTCTTTGGTTCTGATGCTTTCATAAATTAATTGTTTCTCCAAACAAATCATTGTTGAGTCTGAGCCCTGTTGTAAGTAGTGCCTAATAGCTGGATTTGAAAGATTCACCAAGTTCTACTTTTACAATTACACAGAACATCGTATCTGTTATATTACATACTGCCTGACTTTATACAAAAACTAAATTTAATCCTCTCACAAATAGAGACCTAATATAAATGTATAATAGGTCGAGAACATTCTACCAATATAACCGGACATATGGCAAAGTTAAGGCTGCTGTACAATGTGCACCTAACAATAGCATCTATGCACAATCTATTGAATTATTTTGACCTTAGTTTTGAACAATTCCAGGCAACTGCAAGTCTTTTGTCCTTATTTTGAGAGAATTCT